CATCTAGTAAACTAATCCTTCTAACTTCTAAAACAAAACTCAAGTCGTTTGGCCGAATTTTAAAAAAGTTACTCTATTTTGGAGGGTATCCACATATTTCTGTGCTTGACTGTAAATAGAGTCTTCTAATTTCGTTAATTTTACACCAGAGAACAAATCAACTTATACGACCAGTGTTCAACCATCAATCAAATGTAAATTTTAAACTAACTTTCCTGTAAAATTGACATTTTTTTAATTATACCGTATGTACAGTTCGATTTCTTTGTTACAAATAGTCAGGAGGGTAGATAAAGTTCGCAAATTTAAAATTGGTAAGATCGAGCTTTGCGATTCCTCTTAACGAAACTTCTGCTGCCTCTCTTTCTTTCCCACAGATAGTACCAATTAAACAATTAAACAGCTTGTACAGCTGGCTAAGATGAGTTGTTAACGATGAGTCAGTTTGCGACAACTGTTTCAATTCTGGTATCACTTTACTTTGGAACAACAGAATTAATGGAGGAGATTGAATTGATGTGTTAAATAGTAATGTATGTTCTGAGGGGATGTGTGTAAAAATTGAATCACTATAAAGAAGTACAAAGAGTAGAGAATTCTGTGTTATGAAAATTAACCACTTACTACACCAGAGAACAAATCAACTTATACGATCAGTGTTCAACCATCAATCAAATGTAAATTTTAAACTAACTTTCCTGTAAAATTGACATTTTTTTAATTATACCGTATGTACAGTTTGATTTCTTTGTTACAAATAGAGTCAGGAGGGTACATAAAGTTCGTAAATTTAAAATTGGTAAGATCAAGTTTTGCGATTCCCCTTAACGAAACTTCTGCTGCCTCTCTTTCTTTCCCACAGATAGTACCAATTAAACAATTAAACAGCTTGTACAGCTGGCTGAGATGAGTTGTTAACGATGAGTCAGTTTGCGACAACTGTTTCAATTCTGGTATCACTTTACTTTGGAACAACAGAATTAATGGAGGAGATTGAATTGATGTGTTAAATAGTAATGTATGTTCTGAGGGGATGTGTGTAAAAATTGAATCACTATAAAGAAGTACAAAGAGTAGAGAATTCTGTGTTATGAAAATTAACCACTTACAAAATTGAAAATTGAAAAGTTTGTTAGAATTGTAGGAGAGTCTGGGATGGAGAGAGGTTTGGCGGAATCAGATGATAAAGGCGAGAGACGAGACAGTTTTAATTCTAATAAATAACTAATAATGTATTCTACACGGACACGAGTCCTATTTTCAACAACGCTCCTTCAATATACTTTTCTCACGCAAAGTTCGTTCCCCACACACTATTTTTCCACAAGCGATCCGTTTTAAACCTTCCCTTGACGAGGGCGTTTCTTCTCTCCGCCAATTAGGACTGTTCTCGAACGTACCCCTACGACGTTCCCCTTCTACCGCGATTTTTGGCGGAAAAACCGTTTCGCCCGGGAACGTCGCTTTCCGTCCTTTACTTCTGGTGACCAGATTTATGGCACGTCTTACCCACGGTCACATCGGCACCATAAACCTGGCCACCGTCCCGATCGGCGCGGCTGACGACCACGTGGGCCGCCCCAAACCCTAAATTTTGCCTACAGAATGGTGTATAATTAGTTAATTCTAATTTGATTCGCTAATTTCGAATTAAATTTAGATTTTTGGAATCGAATGGCCAATTTTCAGTTAAATTCAAATGTTCAAAATTGTCTGGATAATTTTCAATTGACCTTAATTACCCTGTTAGAAAAACGCAAGGATACAGAATGATTTAGACGAGGGTCCTCGGTGTTTCCATTCTTAATTACACGTAGAAGAGGGCTGATTTAAACATTTCAGTAATCATATTGAGACACGTACAAGTTTCGCGGATGTCAGTAGAAGACTGCATAATCGACCAGAAATTCCAACAATTAAAATGAACTTTCCGTCGCTGAAGCATCGTTCTCTCCCCCCCTCCACCTTTTATTCGTCGGCAGAAGCTAACCATCGAAACTTTGCCTCTAGAAAGTATTCCAACTTTCCCGGGCATTCATTCCATCTGAAACCTTCCGGTTCGAAGCCCTTTTTTCCATCGAAGGTAAACCTCACGCATATTCAGCAATATTCTTTGTTCCTCCAGACAAGGGGCTGAAAGAATTTCAAGGCTAAGTTCTCGGATGCTTTTAATTCCATGAATGAATTGTTTCAGCTTGAATTCCTGTCCAACGACGAAAAAAAAAAAAAGAAAGAAAATTTCATTTTTTCCCCTACCCCCTCGTGCTGCCAACTTCCTTTTACATTTCAATGGCGGTTATTTCACTTTTGTTCCTTTCATCGAACCAAACCGAATATTAAAATGAATCTTCTTTTTCTTTTCTCTTTTTCTTCAACCGTTAAGAAATAGAAATATCATTCGTCGACGGTTAAAATAGAGAAGGTTTTTCTCTCCTTTTTTTAAGCTACGTAGTGTAGAAATCAACGTTTGATTAAAATTGCACCAACTTCTCGTTCAAGTGGACGTATTTATAGGCGTGTAAAAACTATAAACGAGAGGTCGAGGCGTAAGCACACGTTTAGCAGATAATAAAATCCTCCTTCGTTTCAGCTATCCCCCCGTTCTTTATCCACTTTCGAGCCTCTCTTTTCATACTATACGCCAAGGGTTGATCCCTTTACAAATTATGTAAAATCTCTTGCCTCCTGGAGAAACAGAGTTGAAATGCACACGATACTCGACATTTAACCTCGTTTAAACATCCGGCAAATTAGGTCTCTCTACTTGTTGCCCGTTAATCGCGACAATACCGAAAGCTAATTTTTAAAAAATCGAGAAAACCGATACATCGACATATTTCCCAAAATTATTCAAAAATCGTCGCTTGGGAATCGTTGCAATAATTTTTCAATCGAACTTTCCTAATATTAACTTTCTCGTTTTAATCGTTACTTCAGGAAATATTTGGAAAATAAATAGTCATA